CATAGGAAAGCATTGGCTTAATGCTTTCCAATGGGGTTTTCAGTGACACGGATGCAGAGCCTTAGGACATCCAGCATTGTTTACTGTAGTCAGGCTCCATTAGAATTCAGGAAGTGCTTCTAGTGTCTGTCTGATAGGCAACCACTAGAGGCTGTCTGGTAATGCAATGTAATGATGGCAGGACTAAGGGAACAGGGAACCGCACAATGAGATTAAGTGGTGTGTGTGAGTACAGTGACCCTTTAAATATGGGGATAGATAAACATGATATTAAAAATAAATAATATTCCTTTAACTTTACAGCCAGGAGTTTAATGTTAATAATGTACATAGAGCAGCTGCAATTAAGGAAAGAAATGCTGTAGGGATTCATACAGATCTCAGCAGAGCATAATGAGTACTCAATCACTAACCAGATGGCTGCTTCTAATTCATGACAAGCACTCCATTGAGTAAATGGAAGCTCAGAGCTATGTATCTTCCATAGAATGACTTAGTTGTGAAGACTGCTAAAAGAATTACATATCAGCGGGTGGCATGCTAAACTCTTTGAAACACAGGCAGTGTCAAAACCAGCAGCTGGAGAGTTTTATCCATATCTTCCCGGAAGTAAACATGCTTTCCTGTCCTTTTAAATAACTGCCATTTACTAAACAACAATAATACTAATAAAATTAAAATATTTCTAAACTACAAAGTTAATGAGGAATATATAAACTAATAATCACATTACAAAAAAAAACAAAAAACACTTCAAATAAAGTTACAGAATCATATATACTGCACTTAAAAACTCTTTTGGAAAAAAAATACAAAAAATGAATGAGGTACATTAGTACTTCCCTCTATTGTACACATTACATAAGTGTATGAGTGTTTATGGGTATCGCAGTCCATGCTTGTTCGTTAAAGTCTCAGATGGTATGGCATAAAATAGCACGCAATAAAATCCGTGCTATTAGATAACCAATGTTGCCAGTGCAATAGACCTGTACTGCCTTCTAAACTGGGCAGACTGTCACTCACACCTCAAACTGTACAAAAGTGTCAATAATCTAAAATAAAAAAAAAGGGGGTGGAGGAGAGGAAACAAACGCTTTGCAACAACTATGCTTCAATAAACTCTTTAATAAAGTGTGTCTGTACTATAATTCCAAATAAAAGATGCACTCATGATGCAAGAGGGAAAAAAACATTTGTGCTGAAGTGGCATACCCTCCCCTTTACATTCAAATAGTAGTATCCACAATGGGTCCGGGCACATGACAAGTGGTATAGAGTGGATATCAAAGTTTTTCAAATTTAAAGGGACATCATAGGTACCCAGACCACTTCAGCTCATTGTAGTGTTCTGGATGCAGTGTCCCTGTCCCACTTAGCCCACCTTAAACCACCTAACTGATGCTGGACGTCCTCACGCTCCTCATGAAGAAATCCCCATAGGAAACTATGTTGGATGCCCGTACACTTTGCATGAGTACATCCAGTGTCTTTAAAATTCCCATGGAATGCATTTATTCAGTGCTTTCCTATGGGAAATATTTTATTTGCATGCAGTGCTCATCGCACATGTGCATTAGGTTCCCCCATTGCCATTACGACGCTGGAAAGATGTATGTGTTAAAAGCGGTTTTAAAGCTATATTCATCAGGGGATAGGGTCAGACCTATCATTATGGGCAGAGGGACACTACAGCATTAATAATACAGTTTTCTATTCCTAATGCTTTAGTTCAAAGGATATAAGAAGGAAAATGGGGGTGCGGGGCCTAACTGGCAAGTCGAATGGACACAGGTAGCACAAGCTCCTGAGCCCAGCGAGCTAAAACGAACCCCACGAGTAACCAAGCAGCGGAACTTACCGCAAAAAGCAAGGGCAGCAGTGAGGGGAACACGGGGAACCGAAAGACACCAAACGTGGAACCACTCAAGTCCGGTTCACCGACCCTCAACTGACTGCGGCCTACCAGTAAAGCAAACGCTGGGGAGACAGCCGCTCTCCAGCTCAGATCACCTCTATCCCCTTCCCCCATTTGGACCAGCGGGGGTCATCCCGGTCCCAGGAGGCTCACCACCGCTACACTTGGAGCCCACTGCGTGTTATCACGAAGTGGCACACAAGATGGCGGACAGCACGGATAGCTCCACAACTGAGGCATACCTTGCAGCCTCACAGCAGCGGCTAAACCTAATATTCGAAAGATTCTGGGCAAAACTGGCAGCAAGGCAAAGAGGTACACAACAGCCAGAACAGCCTGAAGCTCACCCGACGATGCCACAGATTAACCCACACAAACCCACTAAACGCTCGGCGCCAACACGCAACCTGAAGGAAAAGCAGAACCAGCAAGGTGAAGCGACCCATCCAGCAGCGTCCACCTACCGCCCCACGGAGGCCCTGAACAAATCACAAAAGGCAAGCGGAAGCAGGTCACAAAAACAGGGCCCAAAGAACACGCGACTCGGACACCCACGACCTCACAAGATGGCGGATTCACGAGCTGGGACGCCATGCGGCAAACAGTCGCAGCACAGCCCCACACTCCCGCAAAGAGCATCTTACTGCATAAAACCGGCAAGCCACAAAGCGACCACCAACCTCTCCTCAGACAGGGCATAGGATGAAGGGGTGAGAAGATCTGTGTGACCTGATGGCACACTGAAGAGCTACAAGGGCAAAGAGGGCATTACAGACTTTAGACGTTAAATATATCGGTATCAGTTACACATGACCATACATACATAATACCTGTATTCCAGTGCTCTAAAGCATAGTTCTTAGCACTGGATATCATGAATGCAGTCAAGCATGTTAGGCACGCATAGGCAAACTAATCAGATACCTACATAATGAGATCTAACACATCGTACACTGCCTAGCATAACTAAGCAATGTATGTCTTACTATATTATTTGCTCTTCACTGAATATGCTAAGTGGGTTTCATAGTACTTACCTACAATCTTATATCTAGAACGTTATACTAGTCTCAATACCGAGCCTTACCTGTAATCCTCACGCATGTTAATCTACAGGTTTTCAGCACTGGGCATACATAGCCTGCATGCTCAATACCTACTACCTTGCTTTACACAGCTATCTGGATAAAGCAACTTACTTTAACATATAAAATGAAGCAGCCCAGCATAGGAGAAAATGTAATGTTGTATTCTTTCTACTTAATTACTCTAGCATGTTATGTTCTATAAGCAATGATTACTAGCCTGTTACTTTCATAATTATGACTTCTCTCTGCATCATGTACTAACTAGCTACTACTACATTGTAAGACATGTGGGTACATTAGGACTGGCACTGTTAAGCATCAATTATTTTTATTTTATTTCAATTAACCAAGCTTGTATCATTATGTTTACATGACGTTTTAAAAAAACAAAAAATATGGCAGTCTTTCTTAGGAGTGTATTATATACCATCTTGTTATTATTAACTTGTGTTACCCCACGATGCCTCCTCTTTCTATTCTGTACACCATAACGCATATGCCATAATAAAAGAAAGATTTAATAAAAAGGAAAATACTGTAAAGTCCTTTCCCACAAATAAGAGGAAAAAGGATTATCTACTAAATTGTGCTCTTAGTCAACTGATAAAAAGAGTCACCATTCATAACTCTTAAAAATAAAATACAAAATGGATTCAAAGTGAACACTCTGCAAAAAAATGTGGACGACTCCGTCCCCACGGACGAATTACCACATCTCAACAGGCGACTTATTGAATCTCTCCTTCCAGCCAAACACGCTAAACAGTTTGACTATGATGGACTATACCGCATTGCAACTTTCTCACAAACACCGAAAAACGTCCACAGGGACATTATACTCTGCTGTCGGTCCCATGCAGACAAACAAAGGCTGCTACAGGCGCTGCGGGGGAAAACCCCATTTCTTTTCGAAACTTACTCCCTTACATTCTACCAAGATCTTAGTAAGGCCACCCTAATGTGGCGCAAATCAATGCGCCCCATCACGCAACCCTTACTGACAGCCGGCATACCCTACAGATGGACTAACCCAAGATTGCTGGTGTGCACCAAAGAAGGGAAGACCTACAAAACTGCAAACCCCTCGGAGGGGCTGAAACTTCTGCAAGCACTAGGCCTCCCGGTGCCAGACCCAGCAACAACGTCACGACGAATATGGGATGTAGACCGGATCATTCCAGGAGGGGAACGGGACTCAGTAACCTGAATATGCTCGCATACACATACCTTCGCAAGTCTAACGTTAATATTGTTTCACGTTTTACCTTTATGTTTATTATTGCTCTCTAGACTGCTTCACATACAGCCTTGTTTAATTTATTTTTTTCTTATTACTGAAGGTTAAATTCCAGATTTCATATAATGCTCCTGACACTATCACTTACTCGGCATCGAAGGGCAAATCGAATAATCAGCCATCGAATACCCTTACTCAAATCCCTTAGATCTTGACCCCCCTCCCCTGACCCCCACCCCAGGGGACAGGAGAACACTATAAAAGCCTGAGACATCATGCACAAGCGTTTACGCATAGGATGAGTTCCTACTCTTGACATCCATAACAGTTTAGCTGCCCTGCTACTCTGAACTAGGGTACTAGTGCCACATACTACAATAGCAATAAGCTAAAGTTTTGATGTTCAAATTCAATAATTCATCAAATATATCATAGGCGTGCGCACGGGGTGTGCCTGGGCACACTCTAATCCCCGCAGCCCACACTATGTGCCTCCCTCCGTGGGCCGGTGAGGGAGATCTCTAGCAAGCAGCTCCACCGGGTTCCTCTCGTGAGGTCGGAGCGTTACCGAGGCAACGCTCAGATCTTGCTAGAGTTCACTCATCAATGGGCCACCAGGGATGGCAGCAGCACGGTCCCCCCTCCCTATAAAAAGGTAAGAAGGGAGGGGGGATATTAACTAAACGGTCCTCCCACCCCCACAATACACACAAACAGCACACACACACTCTAACATCACCCACACACACACTAACAGCACCCACACATGTGAGTGTGTGTGTGTGTATATATATATATATATATATATATATATATATATATATATATACACATATATATATACATACATACATACATACATACATACACACACACACGCAGCGTGTGTGTTTGTGCTTTAGGGTGCACACCCTTATTGTGATGGGATTTCAGTGAAATGTAAATTGAGTAGGCCGAGATTTCCACGTGGCATATGTGTATGTTGTATCAGTTCGTTAGTTACACGTAGCTAAGATACTGTCATCAATGTACTGAGCATGTGCAATAATGCAGGAACTGAAATCACACTCCTTTCTTTCGGATGAGCCATGTGGTCTGCCCATATGAGGAAATCCAAATCTTGTCCACTGATTGGTTAAGGGTATGTGCGGGTGGAGATATTAATGGGAGGAGTTATAGTTCTATAAAAAGCATGTACTCCATGTGTTCGGCCCTCAGACCTGTTTTGGCATGTTAGTTCATCTGAGGCCCGATCGGTATGTTAATAAAGACCTCTTACTTCCTGAAAACCTGCATTCATCTCTGTGTCTGGCTTCTGCAAGTTTACTCGGTTACATTATGCAATAGGCTGCGCACGCCTATGTAATAGATACACCTAAAAAATATATTTATTTTCCAAACAGTTAATTGATTACATTTGACACAAAATACATACATCAAAAACAAAAAAAAAATGAAAAAGAAAGTTTATCCATCCACTGTTTGTATAGATAAGCACCTAAATGTTAATACAAAAGATGCGCACAGAGGAGAATGACCTAAGATTCCCTGAATTTCACAATCAAGGAGCACCTACTTTCCCTTGCAAGCTGGCATACAGAGGGAAGTGTGGAAGCAAGTGATACCATCTAGAGACTGTGTTCCCAGATAGGTGATCTTAACAAGATGATTCTGTGAGTGTTTCTAATCTATTTGCTTTAAAAGGACACTATAGTCACCACAACATTGGCTTATTAAGCAGCTTTGATGTATAGGTTATGCTCCTGCAGCATCACTGCTCAATTCTCTGTCATTTAGGAATTAAATCACTATGTTTATGCAGCCCTAGGCACACCTCTCTGCATGTTACTTGCACAGCTTTTTTCCCACTTATAGATGTCCAGATCGATAGTCTGCATTGTACTGACCTGCTTGCATGGTCTGATTACATTTTGGATCAAGGAGATTATGTACTAAATGGTGACTTCATTCAGTACTATAATACACAGAAGTACAGTTTTAGTGACACCTGCCTGTCAGGAGCATGTAGACTAGACTGCTACATAATTTTTCCATACCAATACTGATGCACTGGGAAGTCTGTGATTGCATGCCACAGAAAGTCTGGGCTGGGGAAGAAAGGGGAGGGGGGGTGGCTTGCAATGGAAGCAGACGTGAGAACTGCAGCTTTAGCAAGCTGTTTTTATATATAGCCCCAGTGAAAAAAAATTATAATTAGATGAATGCATGTTTTTACTTGAGGTATATGTACTTAACAGTGGTTTATATTTCTCTATGCATCTGGGCATTGAGGTATAACTATAAGCTTATGATGTATATCAGTCTGAGATGATATTAGCAGTAAAGAAACTAAATCTGCCAATACATATCTGCACATGTGTACAATGCATGTTATGACAATAAGCAGTCAGGTTCTATTAGAATGCATATTTTTTTATGTCTAATAAAGAAAAAAAATCAGAACAGAATTTAATATATACAAGAAATCAGCTGGTACCTAAACCAGCTGTGAGAAAGTAAACAATTAATAACTAATACCTAACAAGAAAAGAAAAATTATATTATTTTCCTGCTAAAATGATAAATGAGTAGCATTGATTTTTTTTAGGTTATCTTACATCATACTGGAAAAAAAAAAAATTAGCTTGCTTATTACAATACTCCTATTTGCCAGTAATTTGCAAAACCACAAACACATATTTTCATCTCTCTCAGGTACATTTGGCAAATAAAGTATACAAAACACAAATCTTCAAGCTCTCCATTTTTTCTAAAAAAAAAGGGAAAATAATCATTTCAATATAATTTATATATGCATGCTGCTTATTTTGCGAGAACAGTAAGTATGCATAACAAGTATTCTACTCAGAGCTTCAATTTCCACAATCCCATTAGCTAAAAGCTAGTGCAGATTTAGTACTAGCAAGTACAAATTGTTGTGTGTGCTATGGGGCCATCAGGCTTGCAGGGGTGAGTAACTTTTAGGCCTGTCTATTAGCGGAGGATTTGAAATTGTGTTTCCTCTAATAATAACAACAGTAATATTTTTCAATATGTTCTGTTATAGTGATGGCTGACCTCTATAGAGCCTTGTAAATGCTGATACCTACTGTACTCGTTTTTCCTCTCAAAACCAAGCAAGACTTGCAAATATACAAAAATCATATTCTAAAAGTTTTTCCTTGTTTGTAAAAAATATATTTTCTCTTCATCCAAAGAATTACAGACTAAGTTTGCCCCTTTGTAGCCATATAAAAAAAAAACAATCCCCCAAGGGGTGACAATCATGAAGTCAGTAGAAGTGACTTCATGATTCTTGACCAATGCACACATTCCATATTCATTTTTCATATGAGTTTCAATTGAAAGTATTTCATTTCTATTCAATAGAAATTAGTTAACTGAAATTGTGATTTACGACTCAGCTAGCAACATATCTGCCTGAAACATTTATTTATAACCATCTGAGATTTTTTTTTTTAAAGACGTGCTATGTTGTTGTACCACTTTTTGAAGTACCTTGATGTAGTAATGACAGGTATTCTTTGATTTCTAAGATCTACTTACACAAATGTGTCGAAACTAACCTTAAAAGGTGACCTTTAGGGGGGCGGAGCCGAACGCCGACCAAGATGGCCGCGTGAGTCCCGAGCTCCGTGCATGGCGGCGAGAACAACCGGCCCAACTTGACCACCCACCTCGAACATCCAGGCACAAACCCCGCAGGAAACATGTCCCACCACAAGGGAAAGGGGAAAGGCGACCGTTCGTCCTTTTTTGCCGCGAGGAACCAGCACAGGCCGTCGGCCGACCAGGTAGGCCTCCAAGATGGCGACAATGATTCAGGGGAAAGTCAGGACTCAAGCCCCCCCTTACCCACTACACAAGAGGGAGAGGGAAAAATCACCCCAGCCCTAATACAAAACATGCTAGATGCCCAATCAAACAAGCTGTTGGCACATTTCCAAACCTCCATATCTGACCTGAAAAAAGAAATTCAAGCCATTGGAGACAGGACAGAGCACCTAGAAAATAAATTGGAAACCCATGCAGCTGCACACAACACCATGCTCACTAAAATTAAACAACTGGAAGCACACATATCCTCACATGATAACAAACTGGCAGACCTTGAAGACAGGTCCCGCCGGAACAATCTGAGGCTCAGGGGCATCCCAGAATCTGTGGCAGTGGGGGACCTACAAGCATTCGCCACGAACCTGTTCCAGAACCTATGTCCTGACATACCAGCTCAAATGCTTCTCTTGGACCGCATACACAGAGTGGCTAAAGCAAAAGCAGCACCGGTATCTGCTCCCAGAGACGTGCTACTACGCGCACATTACCACCATATCAAGGAAGAGATACTCAGAGCCAGCAGAACAAACAAATCCCTAGCTGAAGTTTACAAGGACATTCAAATATTCGCTGATATATCCCCAGCAACATTAGCCACGCGGCGACTCTTCACCCCAGTGACAACCGCCCTGAGAAAACACCAAATCCAATACAGATGGGGTTTCCCCACCAAACTGTTAATCATACGTAATGGACAGGCCACGGCAGTGCTCAGCCCAGAAGACGGCATACAACTCTTAAACAAATGGAATATACAGCCGGCAGATCCACCCCAAACACTTAACACCCTACCTCCTGAGTGGAAACGGGCGAAACGTTAACCGTCGCCCACAACACCCCACTGCAAACTATTGTTGCCGTTAACTACCATACTCTACAGATCTCCAAGAACTTTGATTTCCCCCCCCAGAGGCCCCCTTGTGTGACCTGATCCACCCACGCCATGGACCCCGCAGTCACTACAGGCAGCTACAATCAACACCCTCGAGGCTGTGGAGAGGGCTACAGAAACATTGAGGGGCATCCAGGGGCATCATGAAGGGACTACTCCTCACCCTACGCTGTCACATGTCAAGATCACCTTGGGAACGATCCCAAAAGACACTTATCAATACAAGCAACCACAGACCCGTCCCGGGACTACCACCAGTGAGGGGCATCACCCGAGACACCCGACAGACGTCCACTCAGGTTAAATGGGACCGACTCAGTGACTGGAGAGAAAAGGTAGCATAGGGTCACTGAAGTTAGTGGGAGCAGGGAGCGGGGAGGGCAAACAGTAGGCCAAACACAAGCCCCAAGCATAGCACCCCCACCCCTACACTGGCTCCGATCTCACAACGACCGGGGACAAAAGATCACCTTCCACAGCCAGGGGATCTTTTAACCGCCCACTTGCAGCCAGGAACGAACCCTTAAAACTCCCCCCCAAACAACGTTATCCCCTGACTACTCCGACGAAATAGAGCAAATACGCCTGAGGCGTGAGGATCCCAACAAGGGGGAAGCCTTTACTGGAGGACCCACATTAAGGGAAGGAGGGGATAAACACTCACCTAGGTGGGGACGGGGAGAGGAAGTTAGAGGAGACTTAGTCATAGAAAGCGGCCAACCATTGCAGTATCTTTTGGGGATTGTTTAAGGTTAAATCCTCATGTTAGAGGAAACCAATGTGTTATAATATGTACCTGTTACTAATGTTAATTTTATATGTCAAGTTGAGGCTCATACCACATTGTCTAGAAGTGCATAGATCCGCCTGTACGGAGCGTGGACACCCGAACCCATCAAGCCTAACCTCAACCCCGAAGGGAACTGGGTGACAAGCTCAGTACAGCCGAATCCAACTCTGTTCGCCGGAGGGCGATTAACTTTAACTCAATGGGGGATAGCCCTGAGTTAGTCCTGAGTGTTCGCCTATGCGACACTCAACACGACACCTTTCCTTTTCTAGCCTTTCATCTTCTTTTCTCCTTTCCTTTTTCTCCACAGGAGGTACGACGGACGAGGGGGGGTGGGAATCCCACGGATATACG